TCTATGATTCAATCATAAATCCTTTTCACCCCCAGTCAATTTAAAAAAAAATGGAAGAAAGGAATGTAGTTATATATACAACTTCTTTCCTCTTTCTCTGTAAAATTAACCTCAACTATATATTACCTACTGTAAATATATGGTAAGTAAATACCATTGCATACTCTCGGTAAAAGGTAAAATAATTTTGTGTGTGTGTGTATATATATATATAAATAACAGAATTTAAAGTGCCTTAAGGATGCATTTTTAATGCAATTAAGTATAGAGTTAATAAAATCTATGTATTGATCAATTATGAATCAACTCTTAATTGTGGTTATCATGTATTTCATTATTCTACTAGATAAATATCTGGACTTTTTTCTTTGCTTGATTGTAAATTACAGAGGATTTCAATATTTTTCTTAAACTAGGAAATATTTGAAATGTAGTTGCTTAGAACTTAACCAGAGTGGTTAAACATTGAAAAAATTAACTTCTTCATTAATTAAATTTAGAATTTTAATGGAAACCTGCTGAAGTATTTTTCTTGCAAGTTAGCAGAATTGCAGGCAATGTCTTGAGACAATTTCTTAGTTGAAAATTTCTTGGTGAGAAATAACACACATATAGCAGATGGAAGGAAACTCCTGGGTACTTAGAAATTATACTTTCCCACAGTCATGAAAATGATTTCACTGATGTGTGATGAAAAAAATGAAATTTGAGTTAATTTAATAAATTCGTATATATTTTTGAATGCCATCTAAGTCCCCTAAAAGAGGAAATAAAGTGTGGCAATATGAATAAAAACTCAGACTTCTAATATGCATTTTTATTATTCTGTTTGACAGGTTATACATAGGCTTAATATTGCTTAATGCATTTGTGAAATAATTTAGTTTGAAAATTTGGTATCTTATAAATGTTTTAATATGATTCGGGATGTGTCATTTTTTCTAGACACCTATGCAGATCATGTAACTGCTTCAAAATGCATAATTGAAAAGAATAACATTTCATTGCATTAAAGAAACAAAGTATCTCATATAGATTTTTTTTATACTTGGTGGCATAAGTGGAAATAAATTACCAATGTTAAACTGACATTCTGTTGATATTATGTGTTTGCAGAAAAATCTTTTTAGTGACGTTTCCTTAGGATCGTTGTTTCCATGTGTTACAGGGCAACTTTTGTTAGAGAAAAATTGTACTGTAGTTACTTGCAGAATTTTATAAACATTTTAATAAGAATCTTGATATGGCAAATTTTTTAATATTTTTTAAAAAAATGATATGCCACTTATAAATACTGTGTGTTAGATTGATGTTGATGTTGATGTTTACTGTGAGCTCCTTGACCAGTTGTAATAAAAAACGTGGCAGAAGGACTGAAGTATTGCTTATCATAAGCATGTCTGTCTCCACCTTGTAGAACTGGTGAATTCCAACAGAGAAATTTTAGAAAGTAATTTTCAAACACAATTGTACTAAAGCAAGAGCTTCAAGAAATCACAAAGATGTTTTGGTTTTCTGCAAAATCATATAAGTAAAAGAAATGTGGGGCAATTTTACCATTTTGGTACATATGCTGAGCGTGTGAAATTTTAGAAGGGACTCAGTAGGGTTAGTAAAAGTATGAAGGCAACTAAAATTTTTAGTTGGAAGGGAACACCTCCAGTGGGAACAAATCTAAAATGACTAGAATCCTTCAGCTTGCGAAAAGAGACCACTGAGGAAGAATGTGATAATATTGGTCTGTAGTATCCAGAAGGACATATAAAAGAGCAAATAAGGAGCTGACATTTACTGTGTTTCACAGTATGGGTGCTAGAACCATCCACTGAAACTGTTAGGAAGCAGTTGTAGAATAGCCAAAGGAAAACCTGTGTAGACAAAGCTACATTGTGGAACCCATGATTAATGAGTTAAAAATCAGATTAGTTCAAAACCATTTAACGGTAAGAAGCTGACATAATATCCATGGCGGAAAGACTTTATCTGCCCTGTGTTAGTCTAGTCCTTGTCACTGTTCTGGGGGAGATATTAAATGATCCTTCAGTCTGTCCCCTCATGTCTGGTTCTGCATTTTCATGTGATGTTTGTGTGAAAACACTCATAACTCCTTCCTCCATCCACTAAAAACAAGCAAAAAGTGTGTTCGTTAATTTTTTTAACATTTTGGTGTGTCCAAAAAGTTCCATTATTAGTGGAGTTACACATGAGTCAGCATCTGCTGTTTTAGTGTCAGTCTGTGATTGTGATTTGAAGATTTTAAGAAAAAAGAAGACCCCACAAACAGAATTGAGAAGGACTGCTAAGGACTGCAGTTACCAAATACATGAAAAATATTTGTAAGCTTGACAAAAATTAGTATTTTGTTTACAGGTTTATTTGCTGGTTTTAGGAAAAACTGTTTTCCTTTAACTAATGGTTTCATTTTCACTGGTATAAAGCCATAGAAAATAGGCACTAAATACTACCCATTTCCAATGGCCCAGTGTGTAAGTTTGCACTCTATTTTTCCCAGGGATAAATGCTAGCACATGGTCAGGGGAAGGAAATCACATAATAAAGAAGTTCCTTTTGTATAAATGTGTCATTATGGTGACAGTGAAAAACTTTCTGAAAGCTCATTTCTGGAGTAATGAAAAGTTTTATGAAAAGTTTCTAATAGTCGAACTAGTAGAAGTTACTGATAATTTTGAAGTTTCCAGACAGCATATTGTTTCTGTGTAATCTAATGAAAACAATGTGTTCTAGAAAGCCAAATGTTTTCTGATCTTGAAAGAAACTAATGAATAGCTGTACAGATATATAGATTTAAAGAAGAAATAAAAGCATCAGTAACATATGTAATGAGCTTACGTTTTAAGTATTCAGAATCATGGTATGGTTTCATATTTGTGGTGCATGCTGCTATCAAATTAAGAGTCTTGTGTCTCTGCTTTTTCTTTTTTGGTTTCTGTCTGTGATAATAAAAACTATAGCAACTTCAGTGTTGTTTTCTTTTTTACAAATGTTTATCCTTGCTACATTCTTGTTCTTTCACTTATACAATTAAATAGTTTCAAATCTCTTTTTTTATCAAGTACTTGTCAAGCATTTGGTACAGAAGCATGTTTTTACCCTGCCTGGTTAATTTAAGGTGACTGTAAACAAAAAGATGTACAATTCAAAGCCAAGGGGTGTTTCACACAAGGATGGAGGTGATAATAGCTTAATTCCTGCTTGATCTTTCCTGTCTTTGCCCTGGCAACTTCGGATTGACCTTGTCCGCAATCTGATGACCTCCCTATTGCACTCAGCCATTTGGAAAGCTGCTCATGCCATAGCAGGCCCTGAGGGGCTATCTGGGAGACCACTGATCCACTGACCCATGTCAAGACTGGGTTTCAGGTCTGATCTGCTGAGCTTCTGGCACAGCTACATCCTACACCCACTGTAGACAAAGCCAGCGGGGTAGTCTGATGGTTTTTTCTACTCCTAAAGTGTCATGCAGTTTGCACTTGCTGTATGGAAAACCAATTTTACACCACTCATTTGCTATGAAATACACTTCCTGAAGCAATTACATGTATTGATCCTTTCTTTACAAAGGGAGTAAATTCTCTAATTTAGTGGCTCAATTTTTCTAAATCCATCAAATTGCCAGCTTTATTGGGTGTATTGAAGTCTCAACATCAAGTTCCACAAAAAAAACCCCTACCTTTAAAAGGTGTTTAGGGCAGAAATATATATGTTATGTCTTAATCAGATTTTTCTATGAAGTGTTATGCCAAGACTTTGCAGACATTTTTATAAAAGTGTGTAAATAAGGTTCTAATCACATTAGCTTAGATATGTTTATGTGTTACTGAGTGTGTATTTTACAAAATGCATGACAGCTTAGGAAGTTGCGTGTCTGTTTGCAAAACAAGGAAATAATCCATTTATCCAGGAGAAAATCCTTGTGGGTTTGAGCTTAATTTTTCTTCTTAGCACGTTGTGTTCCATTCTGCACTAGGATGTATCGTTTTTCTGCTTAATAAAATTTTTCTTTAGCCATTACTTTTACTTTGTTTTTCTGAGAAGACTTGAAAAGTCCAATTCCTGTGCTTGGCATAGCTGTGCCTGCAGAGGTGCCAGAGCAGGCCAGCCAGGGAGGTGTCAATGCTGTGTTCCAGTACAGGCCTGCAGAGCACACTTGTTTAGAGCAGTGATGGTCCTGACAAGGCATTTAGTGCAGACCTCGTAACCATGTGAGATTCCTTCCTTCTCTCCTCATGTGTGTGAAATTATGCATGATTCTTCCCTGTAATTTATAGACTGGGCACATAATTGAGTTAATGACCTTTCCGTGAATGAAAAATATAGACCTGATTCAGCTTTGGGTTTGGTTTCTTTTTTGTGGAACATGTGGCATAACTCCAGGGATTTTAGAATTTACAAAAAAAATTATTTCTGGGCGTTGAACAATCTTAGATAATAGCCTAAACATTAAGTTCTTAGACCCTTTATGTTAGAGAGAATAAGAATATGACTGGGTTTTACACCTTTGTAATTAATATCTATGGTGCTAGTTTCACCCAAACTGTAGACTGCTATTTGTGCATTAGCACTTTAAAATGTGGATTGTATTAAAATGTGAAAGAAGCAGTTTTCTACGACTTCTTAACATCAGTGGTTGTCTGTAGCTTTCCACTAAATATTGCGTGTTCCATGTGATGTTCATAAGTTTCTCTGTGTATAATACGCAGTCAAAAACAGTATTCTGACATTTTTGTCCTATAGCCTGTTGTGTCTTAGTTCTTTGTCATGCTAAAAGCACGCTAAGGATTTATCATATCTACAGGTGTAAATTTTAGAAAGTACAAAAGCGGGGATTTCTCCCTTCTAGGGCAGGAGGGGGATATCTGTGGGAGAATTTTGTGTATTCTCTTTACCTAATGCCATTCCAGTAATTATTTTTTTAACATGACACAGTGCATCCTCTTGACAGAATTTATAACATGGCATTGTTTTTCATTTATCTCCAGGAATTGATTCCTGAATTTTATTACCTGCCAGAGATATTTGTCAACAGCAACAATTACAACCTGGGAGTGATGGATGATGGAACAGTTGTGTCTGATGTTGAACTTCCACCATGGGCCAAAACCCCAGAAGAATTTGTTCGCATAAACAGACTGGTAAGATGGTTGTCTTCTATAGTCAAGTAACTTTTCTTTTGCAAGATTCTTCTGAAATAATTTGGGTCTTTGCTTGCAATACATATATTTATAATTTATATAAGGGCTATGTCTGAAATTATCTGAAGAAAAAGATTTACAAGCTTAAGAAGAAAAAAGACACAAAGCGTTGCTCATTCTTTAGAATTGCTCAAAAAAGTTTGAGTGTGCAGATCTTACTCTATCTGTGTGTCAGCTCTTGTGGTTCTATAAAGCTAATAAAATCATCACTTTACAGAGACTTGAAAAAGCTTGTTTATTCATAAAAATATCACTCCAATTACTTGAATGTAATTTTAGGGTTTCTTAATTTTAGTATCCATTTAACTCCAAAGATCCATGAACACCTCGGGAAAGAAGGTTGTATTTTAAGTCTTCTGTCACCTCTTCCATTTCTTCCATTAAATTGATATTTTTCAGAGCCTTTTTTTTTTCAAGAAAATAAAGCCAAATTCTCCTTTGCCTGCTTCATTCCCCAAACCTCTGTAACTATTCTTTTCCCTGCTTTGGAGAAATCCGATTGTTATCACTGCCTGCCTTCAATGTGCCCTCTGGGCAGTGTAATGGATTACAGCATAACCCTTGTGCTGTCATTGTTGGTTTTTAAGAACGTTCTCAAAAGCTGTGGTAGGCCCTTCTCAAAAGGAAAGAATTCTGCATGGATGGCATTCTAAAATAAATAAGAGAAGCTTTTCTTAACAAATCTTGAAAAATTAGGCTGTAGTTTTCATGTGGTAGTCGGCTAACTGGAAATACTGAATTATGGCATGGAAGTTTTCAAAAGCCTTCCAGATACCAGGCTTATCAGGATAACATCCTGACACTCCTATGGTTGAAAATAGGACTTGAAAACGTTCTTATATTGGTGGAACATCAGAACTCATATCCATAACTTTGCAGAACCTTCACATCAGAAGAAATCTGTGCTTTAGAAGTTATCAGAATGCTTTACACTGCACTTTTACTGGTGACATGACACCATGGTTTTCAGAAATGCTGTGTGGCCTAGGTTTCTGCAGGCAGTTGTAAGTGCACCATAATAATCACAAAGTATGTAGTGTGAATTTAGTTTCTATATGAATTCCTTCATGTAGAAAGAAGCATGTGCAAATTTTATTTAAATCAGCTATGAAAGACACTAACATTTAGTAGGACTACTTGGCAAACTATATTGAAACATAGCTTTTGATCTTCCAGTTGTGGTGATAGGTAGTAGGTAAGGGGAGTAGCCTGACACCTCTTTGAGTTTGGCCTGTGCTGAGGATTTGGGATAACCTGAGAAATGACAAATTGTGTTCTTAAGCAGACTTGTCAAAGACAGATGGTGGCCTTGATCTCTTGCAATTGTGGTATTTTAGCTTTTACATAAAATATAGATTTTATTCTATTAATTACAGATTTGACTTTCCACACTGTGAAGTTATTCTCCATGTCCCACTTCTTCCTTTCCTAAGGTTTTAGCTCTTAATTTTCTTTTCCTCATTTCTAGCCTTGAGCCAAGTTTTTCTCACCCTCACTTCTCTGTATGCTGGGACCTACCATTCCCTCATTCTTCCTCCATTTCCCAAGTCTCTACCTCCTTTCTTGAAGCTTTCTTTGATATTCCTCACTTTTGCTGTGTTCTCAGGGTGTATTTTTACAGGAGCATGCAGTTTTCAAGTATTAATTGGACAGAGCAGATTTTTTTTTTTAAAGGCTTAAGCTAAGTACAAAAGTAAGAAATAATTTATCAAGTGATGGTATATTAAAGCATGCCAGACATCATCCCTTTTGGTAACACTGTAGGTCCCTGATACTGTTTCTGTAATTCAGATACCAAGTTTTGGTCAGTCTGGTAGCATTAAATTTAAACCTCTGTGCCAGTAAATTACTTTAACTGCTTCTGTGAGATGTAGTTGAACTTATTGTGGTGGTAGTGGTGCTGTTAGTGCTGGTGTGGAAGATGCTCTCTGTAATCTGCCATTTTTGCAGCGGAATAAAACTGAGAAAATTACATGCAAATATTAAATTGCTTTTTCTTGTTAATACTTAGTGGATTGGTTACCATCAGCATCAAATCCACATTGTTTAAGTAGAATAGGTGTGTTTAGGAAGAATTCTTAAAGCTCAGATCCTCAGGAATACTATCAAGAAAAGCTTGCTGCAATGTGGCATGGGCTGATTCATTCAGTTAATATTTCCTCACTGCTTCCTGGTTCAGACAAAATAGCGATTATAGTATTTTAAGTGCTCGTTTTGCAAGCTATCATGCGCAGATATTTTTTCCCTTTGCATTTCAGTTTACCTCTTCAAGTCCACAGATCTTACACAACGATTGGAGCTCATGAAATGCATACTACTTTGATCTGTGACCTTTTTGTGGTGCTAATCGGGTTCCTGATATCATTATACCTTGCTCATTAATCATATTTCCTGCAGCCCGTCAGCCAGCCAGACAGCCCAAGCCCCTGTTCGCAGCCTTGTGTTGGCAGGTTTCTGCTTTTCCAGATTATTACAGTGTGATACTTTGGCTTCTCATAACCAGACCCACATCAAGCTGTGTGCTACAATTAAAGTCAGATGGTCCTCAGGTTGAACAGGGATATAGTGCTGCAGCTGTCTGTCTTTCTGGAACGGAGCAGCACGGGGAACAGATGATATGTAGGACAGTGCATAATAACAGCTTGTACAGTACTGGGTCAATAGCAGGGGTTCAGAACATTAATTGACAGGCTGATAGCTGATTTAAAAGTGATTCCCAACCTATTTTTAATTCTATAAAGTATGTATTTTAATTGAAATAGGTCGTTGCATGTCCGCTGTGTTTGCTCTGAGAGAAAAAGCAGAATGGTGTGTAATTAAAACTGGATTTTGATTGATGGAATGTCATGATGAGCTAAATGATACCATCAGGATGTCATTCTGAGCAATACAAAGAACTCCAAAATGCAGCTATTGCTTTTGTATGTAGTTGGTGCTTTGTATTAGACTGTGATAGTACCATGTTTTATAATAGCACGAATCAGTGGGGGGGTAGGATATTCTTCTCTGAGACAGTCAATAGTTTGATGGAAAAGCGACTGTGTTTTTAACATTCCGAAAACTTACATACCTCTAAGCTCTGTATTTAGTGTCATAGGATAACTGCTAAGACATCTGAAAGCAGTTTTCCATTTACACAGGTGCAGTTGACAATAATTGTACTATTGTATAAATCCATCATTTTATAAATGTGTGTGTAATAAGAATTATAGTATCAGCTTAATAACAGTCAAAAAATTCACAGACTCTTAAACAAGATAAAACTATAATTCCTCCCCCCAAACAAAACAGAAAAATCTCAAATGCAACATATTGTTGCATCCTTACTTTATTAATTCCAAGTTGTGATGTCTTTAGGCCATTAGTATGTGAGCAAAGGGGATTTGTTTCTCCCATGCTTATCAGATTCCTGTAGAAAAAAGGAATGGGAAGTAAACTGGGAAGGAGAGAATATAAAGAGATAGATGTGCAGATGTGGTTTGGATACAGAAGTCTTAAACAAAAACTGTGGCAATAGTTGTCACACATGGAAGTAGATATACCTCTTAAAACGTAGATTTTTCTGGTGTCTTTTCTTGGCTTCACAGTCTTAGTTATGTAAGGTGCTGTCCTTCAGAATAATTTTCTGTTTTAGAAATTTAATTTCATGTGTTGGAGCTAGGGATAATTACCCCATTAAAGCTGATAGAAATTTTAAATGCTCTTCATATCATGCATGACAAAAAGACCAGGTGCAACCCAAGGAAAAGTCCCATGCTTCCCACTGGTAGTTAGGAATAGCAAAAAATCCCAATAAGGCATTTCTGTTCTAAATGGTAAAGTGATCTATTTTGTCTTGTCATTGAAGCTTGGATGTCTGAATTGGTAAGAATTAATTTAAAGCTATTAATCAACAGATAATAACTAAATTTCACACAGATTTGATGAGCCTCAGCTTTTTGAGAATTAGATTGCTTCAATGATAATAAAGTTGTTGAGGTCTGTCAAGACAGCTTTCCACAATATATCTCAATTTAAGTATTTTAGTGCTTTATTGCAGAGTTAGTCCTTTCATTATTAGGGGTTTATCCATTTCATTCAGTGCTGGGGAAAATGCAAGACAAATTAGAAAAGTGATGAGATTACTGTGCTGGATTGAAAGTTTTGAAATCCAATTTTCAAATAATTGAAAATGTAGTGATTGGAAGCTAGGATGCTTTCTGAAACAAATGAAATGCTTAAATACATAAAGGTACTATACACAAAGTAATTGTGGCATGATAAGTAAAATGGGAGGGTAGGACAGTCATTTACAAATTTTAGTGGAGCATAATGAATCAGTATGAAGGATCACTAGTTGGTAAGAAAGATCTATAATGAGAATTAGAGGATCATTATCAGCTGATATGGTGCATTACTTTTTAGTGGAGGGAACTCCACCTTGCACCAGAGAACACTGAAGAAGCAACATTCCCTGCCAACTAACACACCAACAACACTCAGAACTGCAGCTTTTGTGAGTCAAAACAAAAGTTGGTTTCAACAACATTATACTACTTTCAATCTATTAAAACTATTGCTGTTAGTCAAATAGAGGTATTGAAGCAGTAGCTAAAGCAGTGATTGTTAATTAGAATGTACTGGATTTTTTGTATTATCTTGGAAAAATCTCTCTATGGTATTTTTCCTGGTTCCACAGCTGTGTATTTGCAAATAGTTACAGCAAATGCTGTAGAAATAATGTGGGTATGAACTCTATGAATTAAGGCTCACAACTACAGATTACTAGTAATAGGTTGCTAGAATTTTAGTTGTGTATTGCTGGTAATAGCTGACTTGTTAAATATGTTAAAAATGTTAAGAGGGCAGGAAAAATGCTAAAATGAAAAGTGGGTTGTGCAACATCAGAGTTGTTATCTGTGCAGCACCTACTTTGAAATTCTGGTCTAAGTAGGATTGGA